CGAGGACCTTCAATTGAGTGAACCAAGTCTTCCAAGAATATAGCTACCTTCACGGGAATAGGTGGTTAATACGCAGGAAATCATGAGGGATAGTCAGATCCTACGGGTTCTTAGGTACTGACAGTTGACCCAATACATGTTCTACCCATAAATGCATGTTATGAATGGAGGAATAGGTAGTTGGGTGATTGATTCGGATAAGAGGAGATCAAACTCGAAAAAGGATGCTCTAACTGATATATGGGAGACTCGGGAAGGATACTGTCTACGCCTCTCGCTCTTTCCACGAGGCCTTCCTTAAATATTCTATTACACAGTCACTCGAGAACCAGGGCTCGCATAGGCTGAAGTGTGTTAACCCTTCACCTTGGAACCATCAGAGGGTCCCAATCGAGGTGCTTACTATGGAACGTTATTTTGAAAGTTTCTTCGAGATAAATATGCCTTTAATGAGGAAAACTACTTTTGATTATGACAACTAAGTGTTTAATGGTGACAGCTAGTCTTTGATGACAACAACTAAATTCATGTAAAAAGCGGTTAAAAATGCAAAGCAAATTATTAGGGTTTAATGGACTTGACTCTCCAATAGGCATGCCAACGGAGCTGAGCAGTTTTTAGCATTATCAACATCACCCTTCCTTTTTATACTAGCCCTTCCCATGCCCCCAGACCCAGTCGGGGGTAATGATTTACCCCCCGCCCTCGCCCCCAACAAGGAACGAGTTTCCTCACCCCTTGTATATTTTAAAATATGTTTTTTTTCTTCATAACAATAAAAAATCGTAATTAAACTAAATATTTGATAATTTGAACAATAATTATAATGTTTGTCCATTTCCAAATAATTGGTATTTTTGAAAAAAAAAATTATAATAAATTTGATATTTTAAGATTAAGAAAGGTTAATAGGTAATTAAGTTATATAAAAATAAGGATAATAAATTAATTTTAATAGACGAATGTAAGTACTAGCATACCTTACAGCGTCCTTGCCCCTAGCCCCTCCCCGGTAATTAAAAACTAGGTTTTTCCTACACCCGCACTCGCCCCCAATTTAATAAGTTTTTCCCCATTAGATTCGAGGCGGCGACAGACGGATCCGGTTTTTTTTATCACGCCTACTCTCCGATGATGGAAACCCAATGGATTATAACTAAAGACTCGTCTCAAAGTAAACTCAAGCAAATGTTTACAAGAATGAAGTAACTAATAAGTCTTGAAGTATATGAAAGTCTGACTGGACATGTCTGAGTGAATACATTGAAAAAGAATAAGGGCATTCTCATAAAAGTACATGGATAATCACTCACGCATGCACAAACACACACACAAATAAGTTTTCAAACTTATTTTTTCAAGAAAATGTTTTCAAAAAGGTCTTGAAGTCGTGCCAGATGAATTAAGAGTTATCACAAAAGCTATAGCGAAATTTTTGTCTTTGCCAATCGAATGACACCTTAACCCAATCGATTGGGTGAGTTCAAAAGAAGAAAAACTATTTAAAAAAAAAGGTAGAAAAATGAGAAATAATTTCTTTTCCTTTAAATTATCTTCGAAACAAACTACTACAACACACAAAAAGCACCAAGAAGAATGGTTGTGAATGAAATGAAAAAAAAAATAGAACTAATTTTCAATCCTTCACCAAAAATAGGCCACTTAGCTTCATAACTTAAATTTGTAAAGCTTTTAATCCACACTAGTATCAGTAGTTTCGGCACATATCGAATTTCCAGGGATTCCCTTTGGAGATTCAAACAACAAATCAACTATAACCTCACAATCTCAAAACCAACTCATTGATCTTTCAGAAAGCTTGCAGAATTAAGGTCCCAACAAATCTCCTCCTGCAAAGGGATTCTACGGAACGACATAAAATCATGCACGAGCGACACGACTAGGAATCGACTACACCTAAAACAACAACAAACAACGATACATTAGGATCTTCTATACCGCATTGTAAAGCCCATCATGTTGCACAACACTACTCAACAAGCCCAAGGCAGGACCTAGGGTTCACACTCCATTGAGGAATCAATTTGTGCCAAGCCTTAAACCATAAGGGATTATAATAGTTATGGACACTAGATATAAAATCCTTATATGCCTCTTTGATAGAGAAGAATCCATACTTTTCCCAATCACCTAGATTTAATTAACACACACCTTCCCACCACTTTGATCCACTTAGAACTTCTATACTAGGCATGTTCATCAAATCTTTAGACAACAACTTACTCCTTTCTGTTTTAATTTTCTACTACAATTTTCCCAAGAGTGTCAAGTTAAAAATTTTCAGATTTTAACTCTCAAGCCCCTTTCATCTAAAAACCTACACACCTTCTCCCATTAGATCAAGCTAATTTTCTTCTCATTGTCGCTCCCACCCCACAAGAATTGTTTAAAAATAGATTCTAAGTTTAAAAATAATGTTTGTTGAAGTCTTGAAGAACTAGAGGAAGTATATCGAAAGCACATAAAGAACTGATTTTATTAAAGATATTTTCAATCTAATCTTCACTCCTATGACACACCTTAATAAAATATTTTCCATGACATTTCTTTCTATTGCAAATATCAATCCATACTATTGCCTCTGCTCTAAAATAACAGGATTGTTATGTTGACACCCATTTCTACACCCTACACCTCAATTACTGTTCACAAATACTTGAACAAATTCTCTAGAACATGGTTAATAGTGTGTATTTTATTGGTTAATGAAGTAGTGAAAGTGGTTAATAAATTATAGATAAAATAATTGGTTAATAATGTAGATTTTTGTGGTTAATGCAACTGTGAAGTTGGTTAATGCGCAATCTTATATTTGTGTTATAAAATAAATTTTAAAAATAAATATTTTTTTAAAAAAAATTAATATTTTAAAAAAATATATTATTTTAATAAGAAAAACACTGTTTACCGTATAAATACGGTAAATAGTGCATACGGTGTAAGTATTGGGTGTAGAAAAGGGTGTAGGAATAGTATTTTTCCTAAAATAAATATCACATTCGGAAAAAAAAATTATTTGTCATAAAATAAACGTCATTTGTAGTGTAATTTTAAATTTTATCTTACAGTTGTACTCTCTTATTAATAGTCTATATTTATTATTTGTTCACTTTATATTAATGATAAATAGAATACACCAATATTTTAAAAAGAAAATTTGATAAAATTACATTTTCCTCGTTCATTCATTACATTTTTTTATTTTTAATTTGTATGAAAAATATTAATTACTACAAGATGTTTTAAACATTTTATTGAATTAAGAAATATAATTAACTTTGTACGGAAAAATAAATTATATATAATTTTACGATATTATCATTTGTTTATTACACATTAAAAAAATTTAAAGAATTAAAAAAAATGAATAAATAATAAAATATATGTTAGAAAAAATATTATTAATGTTATATTAAAATTGTAAAATAACTTATATAGTAATTTATAACAATTTTTTGAAAAAAAAAAATTTATAATTTGAAACAGAATATTATTTATTTTAAAATGAGGGATTCTTAATTCTATCAAATTCGTTTACCTAAATCTTTCTCAACAATCAATTCTCTGCCCTTTAGCAAAACCAATTCCACTATCATGGAGTTTCACTTTAATCAAATTCTCGAACTGAAAATCTGCACATTAATCTACTTAATTGGGATAAATTCAACCAATGTTCGAATGAGATAACTTCTTTCAGACTTAATACCAGTGTTTTACGATCTAAGATCTTAACACACCACCAAAACGTTCTTTTTTATTTTTTATTACTTATATACTTCTGTAATCCTACTAAACGCTAATAATTTCTGTTATAACATGTTGTTAAGTTTGGTATTCGGATATGATCTTTTTTTTTTTTATACATTCAACTATAAGAGCCCAACAACTTATAAAAATAAAATTAATGATTTAAGTCTAGAGTTTAGAAACTCTGAGAATTTTTTTTATTGTTAATATATATTAAAATTTAGAGTTCTGATCTAGAGTATTTTGAGTTCTTGTTTGAGTCAACGACCTTAGTCTTTTTAATTCTTATTCTATTTAAAATTGATATCAAATCTCAAGAATAAAGTATTTTAGATTTGACTATTTTTAAAATAAACATACAAACAATTAAATGGTCAATTTAACCATATTATTGATAATTCAGCCAGCTTTGGCTTTTATATATTTTATATATATATATATATATATATATATATATATATATATATATATATATATATATATATTTTATATATATATATATATATATATATATATATATATATATATATATATATATATATCTTGATTTGTAAATTCATAATAAATAAAATTTAAAAACAATTTTCAACATTTATACCAGACATTTTTAATGCCGGACTATATCTTCCCCTTATTCTACTTTCTTTTATCTCATTCTCTTCCCATGATCTATAATTCAAATCTCTCATTTATCCATATCTACTTTTTTTTATTATTTGACCGCGGATTTCCTTTGGAAAAGAAAACAAATAGGTCAAAGATAACATTAGAATATGTTATATAATCTATAATTATAAATAAAACTATAATCATAAATAAATTAGATAAGTGTACTTTTTTCGTTTACCAATCAATTATTTAACATTATTTATATCCTTTAAACTATGAATGTCCATATGGATTATCCAATGCATAGATTCTCCTTTTAAGCCAATTCTTTGGCAGTAGAAGCAGGACGGTTGACATAAAATACTAGAGAAAATTAGACATTGAGGCATTCATAAATGGCAAACTCGATCAAAACATAATAAACGATAATTCAAATGAAACATTGTTGTTTGTTCTAACTGAATAGTCTAATGGGATGAAGCAAAAAGCTCAAGCTTTTTTGCTCCCAGTTTTAACGGTTTGCTTTATCTAAGAAAAATGCTACACAGCTAAAAAAAGATAACTTCCACTCCGGAATAAAACTTTTGCTAACTCTAGCATATGTCATATGCTTTGAAAACACCCTAGAGCTCATCATGTACTTCCTCTTTATTGGATTCATCACTGTCCTCACCAGCTTCTGTCTTTGATTCAGCATCAGACTCGTGGCCAGCATCATCATCTTCTTCATCCTCTTCCGCATCAGAGTCAACTGGGTCATCCTTTGATTCCTGGCAATTAGTACAATGCAAAGGAGGTGTGAGATAAGTTTATGTTCTTCAGCAATAAGTTGGTAAATGAAAACCATAAGTTTCAAATATGTTTTCAGAAATTTACCTCCTCTTCTTTCTTCTTCTCAGCTTCTTCAAATGCTGCCTTCTCGGCCTGCAAGAACATGTTTTCACCAAAGAGATTAACATTCATTCTGCATTATACAGTAAGGCCAATAGGTCTGGTGAACAGAAACTACTTACATCCTTTTGTTTGCCCCATGTTTCTTCAGCTAGTTGTTTGGCATACTCGGGCTCATCAGTAATAACAACATTGTCGAACAAGGTACCAGATTTCACCTGCCAAGTTAAGAAGGTTGCTGGTTAGAAATTGGATAAAAAAGGCTCAAATGAAAGTAAGTAAAGCAAAACATAATGAACCCTTACCTGCCACAATTCAATACCAACATACTTCAACTTGAAAACATATAGGTCTGGGTCGTCCTTGAAGTCTGGTAAATAAATATATTTCTAATGTTAATATACACCATAACAATTACATGACATACATTTACTGTTAATGCAAGGATGAAACTAAACCTGGGTTGTCAATCAATGGTGCCTTCCACTTTCCACTGTAGTTAGGGTTCTTAATTTTCTGCAGAGACGTAGAACACAAAGTTAATAAACAAACCCATCCCTAAACATATTGGACCAACATTTCCACACAAACCTTGGGCTTCCATGGACCCTTGTACTCTGGGTTGGCAATGGTAGGTGCTGTCCACTCACCATCTTCCTCATCATCCCAGTCTTCAGGCTACAACAAAAATTAGTCTAATCAGTAATCACAACATTATGAGAGACAAATATACACAGCAATAGGAAACAACAAACCTTTTTGGCATCAGGGTCTGCAATCTCTTTAGGAATGTCATCGTATCCCTCTGGTTTCTTATCCTCGGGATCAGGAATAAACTCTTTATCATCCCAATCTTCTGGCTGCAAGTATATAGATTACAGTTAGAAATTACGAATACACAACACAAAAATGAAATCTGAGAATTAAGCTATTAGAGTAGGTAGATAGGGTACCTTCTTGGCCTCAGGATCCTTAATTTTCTTTGCAGGAAGAAGATTCCAATCAGTGTAGAGACTACCAGTTTGCTTCTCCACATTATCGATCAGGATACTGTAGGTGGCATCCGGACGGATGATGAATGTGTAAACATGTGTAAGTTGGTCAGTCTCACATGGAACATCCTTCTTTATCAACTGGTTTGTGTCATTGTAGGTCAAAATAGCATGTACTTTCTTGGTACTGTAACCACAGATATCTGGACCAAACATGATACTGAAAAAAAACAACAAATGTAAGAACACAGTTATGAACAGTTATGCTCAGTTATGCTCTTTCCCATATACTCAAATTGAGTATCTAAGAAAGAATTAGCCATGAAAGGGAAATGAATCAAAGGAATCATGTATATCACCTGTAAGGAGTGTCACCCCCAAATTTCTTCTGATCAACTTCGCCCCCAAGCAACTTCATGTATCCACCACCACAGTCAAGCTTCTGTTCATGCTTGACAGAAAATTGGAATACTAGGGTATTATCCTTGTTGGTGAATTCAGGGAATTCAGCAGAGATAGCATAGAATCGGTAGTCTTCACTTGTTTGAATACCTGAAGAGATATAAAACATTAAAAAAAAACTTAATATCATATTTCAATTAAATGTAAAACACCAGCAAAACAATAATACTTCACTATAATTTACATTACCTTTATCATTAGCATCTCCATTCCATTGACCAGACGTGTAGTTCCATTCTCCGGCCAAATTCTCATCTTTCTTCCATTCAGATTTTACCCAACGACTTTCCCATCCATCTTTAGCAATCACCAAAATGTAGCAGCACACAAGTTAGAAAGACAAACAGATATTATCAAACATAGTTTTTGCAATTTTGTTTGTAGTTAACCTAATTAAAAGTTAAAATACAGTTAATTGTCATTACTGATTATTTATTAGTATAACTAATCCACGATCATAGGTAAATTAACCCAAAAAAAAGTGTCTAAACAAAAAACCAGTAGGATTCAGTGAAACGAACGTTTCTTTAAGATCATTTTCAAAACCACATTCGCAGATCTACTCCAGAAAACGACAATTCATATCAAACTTTGATGTTAAACTCAAAATACAAATCAAATTGATATACAATCGTTCAGATCGAGATTCAAAAACACTTTACAAAAACATCGATCGTGAAAATTTAATATCAAATTCAACAAATAACAATGCAGAAAGAAAATTAAAAATCAAAAATCAAAAATCGATACAATTCAAACACGATGACTCACGATCTAATAAACGGAAATGAAAATATAAAAATGAAAGAAATGGATACCTTCGAAGCGTTCTTCGAAGAAAACCTTAGCAGAAGCTATGGAGAGAAAGGAGATAAGAACGAGAGAGAGAACGTTAGGGTGACGAGCCCTAATCGCCATTGTTGCACGAACGGATATTCGGTTAGATCGAAAGGGAATCAGTGAGAGCTACTTTGGAACTAGACTGAGCATTGGGTTCTATATAGCGGCTCCTTCTTACATTCTTTCTTTCTGTGCAGTGGGTAAATTTGGTAATTTACGTGGCTATCGCTTACGTGGGTAGCATCTGGCAGACTTTGGCCAATACGGGAATGCCACGTCGGTACAAGTTGTCATTCGTATTGTGTGGCGTAGTGTTATTGGTAATTACTGTGACTATAGCAATAGGACACGTGAGCGAGATTATTCGATATTTACGGTATTGCCACCGGCCTGTTACGTTTACATTTTGGGAGGACGTTAAGCTGTTTAACAAATTAACACCATCATTATCACTCCTTCACTCTATTTTTGGTTCAAATTATTTGTTTTTTACAAATAAAATGCAGTGGTTATCATATATTGTGAACTTGATGTAAATAGATAGAATTTTGATTTGATAGGGAATTATTAGATTATAGTATCATCTCTATATTAATATTTTAATAATAAATTACCCGTGTCCCATTTTATTAGTGTGCATATTAATGTTAGAAAAATAGTTTATTTAATTATCCAATTACCTTTTATTTTATTAATTTAATCTCTAAATAGTAAAACGTTGAATGAAATAATTATTTAAAGACCTTTAAATTAATTTTAATAGTTGGGAACTAAATTGATAGAAGAGTAATAGTTTAAAATATGAGTTTAATTGATATACATTAATAGTATAAAATAATTTTATATTTATTATTTAATAGAAATTCATCAACATGCTATGTCATATCATTAAGTTAAAATTTACAGATATGATGGGATACATGAGGGTGATTGATTGAGAGTATAAAATTATTTTGCATGGTCAATACATATCCCATTTTCTATTAAAATATAGTCAATTGTTTATTATAATTATAATTTTTTAATTTTTTTTAATAAAGAGGGTCTAAACTCAAAAAAAGGAAAATACACTAAAGCAGAACCAATCTCCGAACAATGAATCCATTTACATCATACTTATAGAAATGCCTAATAAAATCTGAAATTTGTTCTCCAAGCACTAGATCTTCTCCACTCTCAGCACCAACTTTCGCTAATGCATTTGCACACTTGTTCTCTTCCTCTAAAAGTGAATTACTTTCACTTCATCGTACATTTTCATGAGACGTAAGATCTGATTGACCATCAAGTATCCATCTATAGTTGTTGCCTTGCCCGGTTCTAGCATTCTGGTAATGATTGAATAATTAATATTCAACTTCACTTTTGAAAATCCTAAATTCTTTGGAAGGGTTAACCCTTCATATATTCCCCAAAAATTCCTCCTACATTCCTCAATATGCTTTGAAAATTCACTTTTACAATTACCATGCATATCTCAAATAATACCTCTACTCCCTGAAGCTTTTCCTACAATGCAAGTTCCATTTGTATTAAGCTTGGCCCAATCATCTTCTAGAGGTTTGACAACCGACATCCTAAAAACTAACACATTCACTACTTTCTTGGAGATTTAAATCAATTCATTCAGTTGTATCCATGGGATAGTTACTTGTCGTTGGTTGAGTTCACCTACAACAATAGTTTCTATTCTACCAATGGAAAGGCACCATTTGAAGCGTTGTATGGTAGGAGGTGTATGACACCTTTATGTTGGTATGATTCTGGTAAGAGTGTTGTTCTTGGACCTGAAATAGTACAACAAACTATTGAGAAGATCAATATGATCCAAGAGAATATGAAAGTTTTGCAGAGTCGTCAGAAGAGCTATCATGACAAGAAGAGGAAAACGCTTGAGTTTTAGGAGGGAAATAACGTCCTCCTGAGAGTTACCCCGGTAACTGGTGTTGATCGTGCGTTGAAGTCTAAGAAACTTACGTCGCATTTCATTAGTTCGTTTCAGATTGTTCAGAAAGTATGAGAGGTGGCCTGCCGAGTGGCATTGCCGCCAAAACTTTTAAATGTTCATGATGTGTTTCAAGTGTCTCAGCTAAGGAAGTATACTCCTGATTTGTCTCATGTGATCTAGTTGGATGATGCTCAAGCTAGAGAGAACTTGACAGTTGATACTTTACCATTGAGGATTGAAGATCATTAATTGAAGAGCTTGTGAGGCAAGGAGATCACTTCGCTGAAAGTTGTTTAAGGAGGTCCTGATGGTGGCAGTGTGGCGTGTGAGCTCGAGAGTTAGATGTGAGAGTCTTATCCATAGCTTTTTGTCAGGTAATTTTTAGGGCAAATTTTTTTTAAGTGTGGAGAGTTGTAACACCCCGATTTAATTATTCGTTTATTCAATTATTTTATTTAATTGAGTAATTTATTTAAATAATTATTTTTGCAATGTGTGACATGTTTGGCCGGTGACGGCTTTTGTGGTGTTTTGTGTTAATTAATTAGTTTTGGGGAGTTAATTAATTAATTGGAAAATTAGAGAGAATATGTATAATTGTGCCAGTTTTGTGAATTGAGATAATTTAGTGGTGAGTGGAGTAGAGCTAAACTTTAGTTGGGTAAAAAGTGTAATCAAGAGAAATTAAATAAAATAATATATATTCTAAAAGCTAGAAAAATTTAGGTTTTAATAGGACTTTCTATCTGTACATGAAAATAAGGAAATTGGAGATAAGAGCTTGGAAAAGGAGAACTAGGGCTTAGGAGAAGAAATTATTAGAAGCTTGTTTTGCTGAATTTCACTGGAATTACAAGATAAGGGGGAGGGATTCTTCATCTAAGTGTGCTTAGATGACACAAAACCTTCTTTCCTCTTAACTAACAAAATTGATGTACCCCACGGTGACACGCTCGGACAAAAGAACCTCTCCTCAAGAAGATCTTCAAGTTGCTTCTTCAACTTCTTTGATTTCGGTGTGGACATACGATATAGAGCCATCACTACTAAACTAGTTTCGGGAACTAAGTCGATCGTAAAGTCCATTTCACATTCCGACGGTAAATCACTTATCTCATCAGGAAAAACTTCCGGATAATCACAAATAATCGACACACCACCAACTTCCCCACTTTATTAACACTCAAAGTTTCCATCAAAATAAACATCTCAGCACCATCCTGCACCGACTCACCAAAACAATCTGTAAGCACTTAGCTTAACTCAAAACAATTCACTACACACGCCATCTAAGCTTGCAAGACACGTCTATCCCATCCAATATGACTCTTTCTACTATCAACAAGAAATTAAGGGTGATCAGTTCCTCAATTTGTCAATAGACGGCCAAAAATCATGATGGGGCATAAACCATCTTTACCAAACTATAAGAGCGTCATCGACACACTGAGCCACCACTCCACACTTGAAGCATCCTGGAGAAGTACAAGTTTCTCCCCCACTTGTTTCGTTCCCACTTCTGCAGACAAAGGTTAGAAAACAAACGTGTATTGACAGTGTTTTCACACACATGTCGCATACTTGAGAACAAATAATATTAGACAACTTAGCCGGAGCGACCGACCTGCTATGGTACCACTAATGTAACATCTTTTTCTACCCCACAAATATTATGGCAAAATAATAGAATTCATCAGAGTAAAATTTTAAACACCATAAAAATCACCTCAAAGGGCGTATATTTCTCGATATATTCAATCAAGGTCAATGCTCCGTAAGCAATGCGTTTTTCTCAATTACTCAAAAGTGCTCAAATGGCAGCGGAACTCAAAAAGGCGAAAATACAAAGTTTTCCTTTTACCGCAAGGAAATCAACATAACAAAAACTCATTAAAATAGTTTGACTCAAAGACCACAACCCGATATTACACTATCAGAGCAAGACCTTCTAAGTCAGCCACAATGGCCAATGACCCAAAACTTCAAAAATCCTCGATGGCATCCACGACTAAACCTGGTCATCTGCATGTTACCCATGTGGAGGCAACATTTAAACAGGCAGGGTGAGTAAAACGATCCATAATAATCAATATAAAAAATGATGTCATTTTCATATTCAACATTATAATCATCAAGGAACATCAAAGGCCACAACATCATAAATTACGCAAGGTTATCTCATAAATGCAAATGCAACAAGACTCATACATGTGGTATCAATTATCACAACTCGATGGGCATTGGGCCATCAACCCTCCATAGATCCCCATCAATTGGATCGGTTCTATAGAAGAACCGGAGCATATCAAAATACCTCGCATCTGCACAATGGGACTGAAGCCAAAGAAATCAAGGTCCTGAACTGAAGTTCAGATGCACATGAATGCATGATGAACACGTCAATAATCATCCTCATAATAACATCATAGGTGCATCATCATTCATCAAAATCATCATCATTACATCATAGGAATCATCATATAATCATGTACTGATCACATAGAAATCACATTCATACTCATATTAATTCGTCAAAGAAATCATAACATCAAAACATCAAGGCATCACTGCACAAAATCAAAATTCACAAAACTTTGCTACGTTCACTAGCAAGTTTGTTGTGCGAGTCTTGGGCGAGTTTATTCGCTGTGCGAAGGATTCTTTGCAGTGTGAACACGCAATTACAGCAAAACGCTGTTACGCACCAGAACCTAAAATCAACCCAAAAGTCCAACGATTCACTTGCCCAATAGCCCAAAAGACTAAAACGCTCAAAAAATTCAAAACTAACTCCTCGCCGGCGTCCACGGCTAAACTGGATCATTTGCATGTTACCCACGTGGAGGTAACATTCAAACAGGCAGAGTGAGTAAAACAATTCATAATAATCAATGTATGACAATTAATGCATAAACAGCAACATATTCATATTCAACACATTCATATTACTCACATATGCCTCAAGGTCACAACATCATAATTTATACACAAACATTCATAAATACAATGCAACACAACTCAATGCATGTGGTACCAATCATCACAGTTCGATGGACACTGGGCCATCAACCCTCCATAGATCCCCATCAATAGGATCAGAGCACATCAAAATACTTAACATCCACACAGT